CTTTGTTTTCTTTGTATGCAAAATGGGTATTATAATACCTGTCTCCCGGGTGTTGTAAGGATTCAGTGGTATAATGCATATGAGCCTGATGTAGGGCAAATATTTAATGAACACAGCTGTGCTTATCACAGAAGCATATGAAGGTGTTACCGAATGAGTCCCTGTTGGCACAGACCTTTCCAGAACCAAAGAGGAAATGTCTTGGGATTTAGAGCCCATTACACTCTTCCTTGTCAGTGGCACAGACTGGGAAGAGCTGCTGCTGACTGACTGTCTCTGTCCCCTTCAGCCTTTTATCAGATGGAGGGAAAACCGTGCCTTGTCCGGAGACGAAGATACAATTGGCCATGATGAAAAAGAAGCTTCCCCTGGAAAAGAACCGACCCGAGAGTGCACTTTCTTCTAAGATGTTTCTGACTATACACCGCCTCACCTTGCAAGTAAGAGCCATGGCGCCCCAGAAGGAGAGGCCTGCATGAAAATCCAAAGTCGTGTCCTCCTTTCTCTGCTGCCTTTGCTCTTTCACCTGTGTCCCAGAAGTCTGGGCTCTATGTAGGTGGATGCCAGTGTGTGTGGGGTACTTGAGAAGAGCATGTTCTGTTTCCCACGCCTTTCTCTTCCTTGCCATCCCACCCCCACCCCCCGCCATGCTATGCAGCAGAATACTGGGTTCTCAAATGTGCTCGTTGACTAGATGAAAAAAATGCATTGGGGGAAAGGAAAGGAATCACAGCAGAGCTTTTCTTCTTCTCCTTACTCTAGACACCAACATTAAGATATTCTGAACATTTGAAGAAATTACATTGTAACCTGCAGGGAGAAGGTAAATGTTTTGTTACTACTGGATTTCCAGGTACTGCTTCCCCTCAGCCCACGTATCTCTTACTTTAACTTGGTCCCAATTCAGTTATGTTGGTTGTTAACAGTCACATGGGGTTACATGTAGGACTCAGGAAACTGTTTTCAGGAAGGAGCCATCCAGAGGGGGTGAGAGAGTCACTGTAGTGGGGTGGGGAGGTCAGAGCAGGTGGCTAGAGAGGCTGGGGACTGTTGGTGAGAAATGTAAT